CCCCCTCCCTTTATATGGGTATCCATTGATCCTTCCTAGACAATGTATGTGGCAGGTGGGAGATCTGGGCAGTTCAGTGATAGCCACCCAACATTCAACATTAAAGTTATAACAATTCAATATATATTGTATATAAACTTGATCATTGAACTGGTCCCAAAGGAAGTCAAACAGTGCAATATATACACATGGATCCTAATAATGAACGCTCATCTGCTGCCACCTGTTGACCGGCTTCCATAATAGGGGAGTGTTAATTGGCTAAAGAGACTTGTGAATCATTTAGTTCGGTAATGGCCTATCCACACCTCAGTGTTGCATTAAGAGTGCATGCTATTGCACAACACAGTGCAGTGCTCTGTAGATGCCCTGGTTCGTTGCACTGGCATTCCTTCTGAAAGGCACCCCTAAGTACCTCCCAGCAGCCGTGCTCTGGGGCATGTAGTGAGTCAAAAGCAGAACTCCAAGGGACCTATTAATAGTGGAGAGCAAATATTGCTTCTTGATTGCGCTATACCCCAGTCTGCAACAAGCAGCAATGAATCGGCATTTAGCACCCCGGGTGGCAGGAGAGGTATGTATCCACCATCTTCCATAAGGGGAGAGTTTTACACTTTCAGCTTAGTGACCGAGTCAATTTACGAATCTACAGCAGCAGCTCTGCAAAGTGTCCACTGATCAATGGAAATGGATTATCTACAATGGCTGACATTGTTCACAATTCACAGCAAACCTGGTGTCAGTAATTCATGGTAAAGGACTAGGTAGTTGCCTATAATTAGGCAAATGCGTGCTGTGGCCAACATTCTTTCAAATATAGAAGTGTTAGTCTGGTAGGATAACTGGCTCCTGTCTCTATTGGCCCTATTATGATATTCTACTGAGCATGCTCAAGATGGTTCCACACCTCCTATCCGCCCCAACACCAATTTGATAAGTGCTTTGAGTCCCCAGGAAGAGGAGCGCTATCGCAAAATAAATAATTATTAATAACCAAATCCAACATTGAAAATGATTATCAAAAAAAGTTCCCAAAACATTCCACCAGAGGGCAGCATCATACTAGGGAAATGTCTCTTGTAAGGAGAAGTACATCCTATGGACATCTTCAATAAATACTTTTACAAACTTCACTATAGAAATACAGATATATTTTTTTTTAATTTTAAAGCATAGATACTCTTTAATGGTCTATTCCAACCTAAACTTTTTGTATCATTATGGATGAAGCAGAGAAGGGATAGAGCCAGCAGCCAGTCATTGTGATTGGCTGACAGTGATCCCGTGATTGGGAGCCCATTCATCCGCTCGTGAGAGCTTTGGTGACCGCGCAGTAACAGTGCTAGGGATGCAGATTGAGCATCCAGGAAAACCTGGGTGGGGGTATGGCTGACATTCAGAAACCAAAGGTCAAATCTACTATGGATAACACTTTCCATTAGATGTGTGTTTATCACTTTCATATATAGGGAAGTACATCCAAGAAATAAGGAACTTCTCTGTCACAGATCATAATTTGTGGCTGGTAACATGTTCTGCTTAGATCGGGAGTCAGCAACTCCTAATCTAAGGAGAATTAGACAACCAGTGAACAATAGCATGCCATAGACCTCAAATCAGCCCCAATTACTCCACCTACAGACCTCAGATCAGCCCCAGTTCCTGCACCTTCACCCCACCCCAATTCCTGCACCCTCACACCTCAGCTCCAATGACTGCACCTTCACCCCTCAGATCACCCCAATTCCTGTACCTTCACCCCTCAGATCAACCCCAATTCCTGCACCTTACAGACCTCAGATCAGACCCAATTCCTGCACCTTCACACCTCAGATCAACCCCAGTTACTGCACCTTCTCCCCTCAGATCAGCCCAAATTCCTGCACCTTCACCCCTCAGATCAGCCCCAATTCATGCCCCTTCACACCTCAGATCAGACCCAATTCCTGCACCTTCACACCTCAGATCAACCCCAGTTACTGCACCTTCTCCCCTCAGATCAGCCCCAATTCCCGCACCTTCACCCCTCAGATCAGCCCCAATACCTGCAGCTACAGACCTCGGATCAGCTACAATTCCTGCACCTTCACACCTCAGATCAGCCCCAATTCCTGCACCTTCACCCCTCAGATCAGCCCCAATTCCTGCACCTTCACCCCTCAGATCAGCCCCAATTCCTGCACCTTCACACCTCAGATCAGACCTAATTCCTGTACCTTACAGACCTCAGATCAGTCCCAATTCCTGCACCTTCTCCCCTCAGATCAGCCCCAATACCTGCACCTACAGACCTCGGATCAGCTACAATTCATGTATCAACAGAAATGTAGAGGTTTTAAATTTATACCTATTGCAGCTGGTGGCTTCATTAGTTGGAGAAAGAGGGTCAATGACATACATTGCTGCAGGCAGACCTAAGCTGGTACTGGGAGGAGGGCGAGCTGGCACCTGAACGTCCATGACGTCAGGTGAGCCACTCTGAAGCATCATGGAGGTGCGTGGGCTGCGGGTGCAGAAGGTCAGGAGGAGCTTTGTAATTAATAATTAGTGAGCAGGCAATTATGTCATATGGCAGCAGCACTTTTTTTTGTAGGGAGCATGGGCCCACTGAACAAACTTCTGGTCCAGTGGTGGGGCCAGTTTAAACTTGTGTGCATTCCACATAGAGGTACATTGCTTGCCCCCCCCTGGCACCTGTGTCTTTGGATGCTCACCCCTGGCTTAGATATTAGTAGAAGCCGAGAGGATAGCCAAACACACATACAGTAGAAAGTTACTCACGTGAGAGGCAGGGTTATTGTCTGCCGCAGATGACGGCTTTCCAGGGCCTAGAAAGCAAACAATGAGTGAATTGTGGGAAGAAGCATTCCTACAGCACACCTACAATGGTAATGTTACCTGTACCTGCTGTGGACTCATTGGGACACTCAAAAAACTCCTGTTCTTCCTCCTGCTGACCTTTGACCCCCACATCAGTCTGCTTGGTAACTGGAGCCGATGCTAGTTTCTCCTCATCTGTAGCGTGGCCCTGTCGCTTCTCAATGCTTGGGGAATCGTCTTCTTGCTGGAAATACATTGCATCAGCAGCCTTTATTGGAAATGCCCAGCCAGCCCCCATCTGCCTCAGGAGAAGGCACACTATAAAATCCCTAGTTTCCTTCAGTCCCCCAGGGAACAAAGTGCTACGTACACTTTACTCCCTAGGGGACTAAAGGAAAGGGACAAAGTTCTACGTGCACTTTGTTCCCTGGGGGACTGAAGGTAACTGGGGGACTGATGGAAATGGGATAAAGTGCTACATGCACTTTGTTCCCTGGAGGAATGAAGGAAACGGGACAAAGTGCATGTAGCACTATATCCCGTTTCCATCAGTTGCCATGTTTCCTTCAGTCCCCTAGGGAGCAAAGTGCACGTAGCATTTCGTCCCGTTTCCTTCGATCCCCGGGGAACAAAGTGCATGCAGCTCTTTGTCTGTTGTTTGACCTCGCTGCTCAGCAGGAGACTCATTTCGAATGAGTTCTAGTTTACAGCGTTGTGTAACATCCAATCTTTGGGATTTATTTTGGTGTGTTGGCAGCCTATTCTTTTCACTGGGCTGCCTTACTGTAACACGCAATAGCGCACCACAAAAATGGGCCCTACAAGGAAAGAGCTTCACCAAACCACACAAAATAGGAGAAGTTTACAGTACTGCATATATTGAACTGTTCACAATGTTTATACCTACAGCTACAGGGTCTCTTCACTTGTGCTCTTCAAATGTTGAGGACTGTGGCTTTGATCAACTTGTTTGTGAATGCCTTGAATTATTTTCTATTAATAACATTTGAAACCTTTGTGCGGATATTTTAATTTCTTGCCATCCCTAGAACCTACAAAGATTATTATGGGCAGGCATTCTTGTGATCTTGTGAAAGAATATTGTGGGCAGGCATTCTTACACTCATGTAAAGTTGGAAATGGGAATTTGCTATGCTCCTTGGCTCCATCTAGTGGGGAGAATGTCAAGCAAAGAGCATTTGGCCAGCATATGTCTTGGTGGATGATTTAAAAATCATCCCCATGTGGTATACTGTCCTGAAATTAACAAATGTGTTGGTGGAGATCAGAAAATGACAATAGAATGCAACGCTTATCATAGTTATGAGTCCCATGATTTACTAACCTGGTTGCAGACATCCAGAACCAGAGAGGATCCTTCATAATTCTGCACTTTGCAGCTGTTCCTGGAAGAAGAATAGAATGATTACTACACGCTCTTATATATTACATGTTATTGCAACATCACAGACTACATACAAAGGGTAACTCTACACGAGAAGAAAGGTGGAATGGATGGAACGAAAGATGGAATGGATGGAACGCACCCAACTCTGCTCATGCATGGATCTTATATCTTTCAGCATGCTGGGGAATACATACAATTCATGAACATATAAATTGGTCTACAAGCGCTAAAATGGTGACTGGGTATGTACAAGGCAATTGAAAGAATCATCATCATTATATTCAGGCTTCTTTCATCAGTAAGACAACATTTTAAATGGTGCCACCAACTGCCTAATCTTCCATGCCACATGCATTCGCCATCGTCTGCTCCATGGCTACCCATCATGCCTCTAGATTCAATACTGCCCAGTCTTTTTCACGCCAGGGCTCAGGATGGGGGAGGGGACTGGAAACGTTGGCTTGGGGGGCAAACACAACCAACTAGGCCTTTCGTGGTAGGGAAAGATTTCTGTGGGCTAAAGAAGAGTGGCGTCACAAGGGGTGTGTGGTCCGCACCCGGGTGACACCATTGGAGAGGTGAAACCAAAATGACCGACAGTCATTTTGGTGTCACCCCCCTCTGAAAAGTCGTGCACTCGGTCAAGGAGCGAGAGCAATACGGTTGCTCGAGAGAGAGGAGGGGACCCGGCGGCATACCTTATCCCGCCGAGTGACCGCCCCTCCTCTCTCTGCCGGTGTCCATCACCAAGATGGCCACCGGCATATAACAGTGGTACCGCGCGTGACGTCATCACGCGCCTGTGCGTTGACGTAACTGTGGGGTGTCACCCAACGATATCCGCACCGGAACGCCTCTGCTAAAGAAAGTGTGCCATGCAAGGTGTACCATGGTGTCGTATTGACTGGTGGTCTACTCCATGGCTAACCATCATGGGTTCAACACTGCCTAGACTTTTTCCACGCCAGAGCGAAGGATGGGGAACTCTGAATGTTGACCTGGGGGGCAAACACAACTAACTAGGCCTTTCATGGTAGGGAAAGATTTCTGTGGGCTAAAGAAAGTGCACCATGCAAAGTGTACCATGGTGCCACATTGACTGGTGGTCTCCTCCATGGCTAACCATCATGGATTCAATACTGCCCAGTCTTTTTTCACGCCAGGGCTCAGGATGGGGGGACTGGGAACATTGACTTGGGCAGGCAAACACAACTAACTAGGCCTTTCTTGGTAGGGAAAGATTTCTGTGGGTTAAAGAAAGTGTACCACGCAAAGTGTGCCATGGTGCCACGTTGACTGTCGGGCATGGTAAAAAGGTGGGTGTTGCTAAAGGACATGGTTTATTGTGAGAAACCTTAACATCGCCTACCATCAGCTTTCTATTGGCATTCAGTCACAGGACACCTCAAAACTGCTAAAGTTGTTGCAGGAAGATTTCCCTTTGCCAGACAAGGTGTTCTCGGGTCTGAACAGGGAGCAGATAGCTCTAGATTGCCAAGCATGTGATGGGGACTAAGGGTGCCAAGCTGATTGAGGTCTGAATGGTGACGTTTCTTCACCAGTCCAACTTAGTAGCACGGATCTGTTAGGGCAAAATGCCCCCTAGCCTAGTTCTTGGAAACCAGTGTAGACACATTGATGGAGAATTTACAAGCTCTTAGTCCAAATTTGGAGCAAGCAAGCAATTTAGAAGAACTGGAGAACATGGATTGCAATTGAAAATAAAGTTATGTGTCAATTGGAATTTTTTTATGTCCACCTTGCTCCAGGGATTTGTCCATCTACTCCTTGGAAACCTCCTCATAGAAGGAGCCATGTGCCTCAAATGACATTGCCAATGTACATGGATACACCTCTTGAGACAGAATGACGAGTTATGATAAAAGTAACCACAAATTAGGGAAACACCGCCTCATACAAGGACAATGTACCCAAGTTTTCGTTGTCTTTAAATTACTATTCATTCTGGGAGAGGGCTCAATGTCAAGCAGCAGCCAGAAAGCTTAACAAGATCAAGCAATGTTAGACGGGGTCATTGAGACTGGGGAATATTAATCCACATTAACTGCAAACATGGGCACAAGTTCAGAGAGACATCAAAGTGATAGAAAACCTTCCGAGCGGATCATAGATCTAAAGAAACACAAAGTAAAACCTTCAAAAGTCGGGGATTTACGATACGCCAATCAAGATCTGCTTTTAAGGAAACTTAAACAGTTTGAGATAAAAGGCTTCCTTAGAGAAATTCAGCAAATTAAATGAGCAGAATTTATTAAAAGGGAATGTATTCCTCCTGCCTGTGCACCTTCCCTCAACTTTTCTATTGAGATTGATAACACAACTATCCCCCCTCACCCCGCCAAGGTCTTAGGTGTCATCTTTGACTCGGACCTCACCTTTCTACCCCACATCCAATCACTATCCAAATCCTGCCGCCTTCACCTTCGTAACATCTCTAAAATACGCCCCTTCCTCACCAATGACACAGCAAAATTACTCATCCACTCCCTTGTTATCGCTCGTCTGGACTATTGCAACTCCCTCCTCATTGGTCAACCACGATACAGGCTCCTCCCCTCTTCAGTCTTTAATGAATATTACTACTATACTCATCCACCTAACCAACCGCTAAGTGTCTGTAACCCCCCTATGACAATCCCTGCACTGGCTTCCATCCCCTGTCCCCTCTCTGCAAATCCCTCCACTGGCTTCCATCCTCTGCCCCCCTCTGCCAATCCCTGTACTGGCTTCCATCCTCCAAAGGATAAAATTCAAAATAATAACAACCACTTACAAAGCCATCCACAACTCTGCCCCCAGTTAGATCTCCAACCTTGTCTCAAAGTATCACCCTAACCAGCCCCTCGGCTCTACCAAACAAAGACCTCCTGCTCTCTAGCTCCCTCGTAAACGCCTCCCATGCTCACCTCCAGGACTTCTCTAGAGTCTGTCCCATCCTTTGTAACTCCCTACCCCAACCTGTACTCAGACTGCCTTTAGGTGATCCCTAAAGACTCATCTCTTTAGGGAAGCCTATCCCACCTCAACCTAACCACTCAACCATCACATTCTCATACAATTCATCCCCACACAGCTACCTCCTCATCTATCACTGGCCCCTCCCTTTTAGATTGTAAGCCCTCAGGGGCAGGGCCCCCCTTTACCATCTTGTCCTGAATTGTATTGTAATGTTCTCCTTATATTGTAAAGCGCTGGGCAAACTGTTGGCTCCATATAAATGCTGTATAATAATAATAATAATATTCACACTGGAACAGACAAAATCTGGAGCAGCTGTGCAGGGCAACCAATCAGCTTCTATTTTTAATTTTCAAATCCTAACTGAACAAACTTAGGATAGAAGCCGATTGGTTCTCTGGGCAACTGCTCCAGATTCTGTCTGCTCCAGTTTTATCTATTAGTGATGGTGAATACTCTACATGTTAGATTTCCCTAAACGTCCCTTTCTGCTTCCTAATAACTTTATTCTTAAAGTGTGACTACATACAACGCTGAGTTATGGAATCTGTATTTAACATTTAAACAGCAGGCGGCATAATTCTTCATCTGCATGTCTGTTGTGATTACACACACCCTGACCACTCAGAACTAAACTATTCACGGTCCTGGTCTGTAGCCAGCAACCACCCTTCCAGCCAGGATCCTGGAGGAACGTTAGAGAAATGGCTTCCGTTCACTATGTGGGAGATTTGACAATACAGAATCATGCAGCAAGAGTCTGCAGTCATGTCAAGTGGTACTCATGGGCAGCACAGTGGCACTTCTGTCTTGCAGCACTGGGGGGTCCCCAGTTTGAATCCCGGTCAGGACACTATCTGCAAGGAGTTTGCATGTTCTCCCTGTGCTTGTGTGGCTTCCTACCATGCTCCAAAGACATGCTTGGATCCTGCCTAAATTGGGCCTTGTATGTATGCAAGTGAGATAGGGACTTTAGATTGTAAGCTCCTCAGGGGCAGGCACTGGTGTGAATGTGCAACTATGTAAAGTGCTGTGTAAATTGTTGGCACTATAGAAATACCAATAATAAATAAAAATACTCTAAAAGACCCGAACAATCTGTCTGTAAGGTCTGCACCTAAAAAAGGCCTGAATCAGAGGGTTAGTCCGCCAACAACAGATGTCCTTTCATGTTAAGGTGCCCATACACTGCCCGATTCTCGTACGAGAATCGCGGGAAATCCCGCGATCGTACGAGAATCGAGCAGTGTGAACGGAGACGTGCGACCGTTTCTACTGTACGGTCGCACGTCTTCCGTCGAACCAGCATGTTCGAAAACCAGCCGGGAATCGTACGATTCTCGGCTGGTTTGAACGGTGCTCGGAAGACAAATGCTGAACGGGCCGGTGTGCGCGCGCGCACACTGCCCGTTCAGCATTGCGGTCATCGGAAGCCCGCCCCTCAGGGGGGCGGGCTTGCGATGATCGAGAGTGCGATCTGCCTGTCCAAGATAGGCAGATCGTACGTTTTTTTAATCCCTTTACAACCATCGCAAGACTAAAGTCTTGCGATGGTTGTAGAGTGTATGGCCACCTTTAGGCAGATAATAGAAAGTTCTACCACCTGACCATATATTTCACTTCTCCAAGACTCCAATGATGTGAGCCGCACCTGTTGTGTTCATTGTGAGAGGCTCCCACATTCAATGTGAAGAACAGACTCAGAAATGATGGCGGGTTCCTTTATTGGGCCTATCTGCTCCTTTCTCACTTTTTTACTGTTAATATATTGGTAAAAATTTTTGGGGTTCTTTTTACTATCTGCGGCGATATGCTTTTCAACTCCGTTTTAGCTGCCCGGATTTCTAGTTTGCATTTTTTGTTACATACATGGGGTGATCTCAAGTATTGAGGACAATGAAGAAGCCAGGGGTAGACTTAGTCCATCAGGCTCAACCGCCACCTGAAATATCACTTTAAAGCAGAAGAAGTCTAGATGACAATCATGGCTCCCTCCTTGGACACAGTGCAGTGAGTAAG